CAGTGGGTGCTGAATCATTATCATCGTAGCCAATGATGATGGTTACGATCATACAGAATCGAGTTTGTAAATTCTTATGCTCTCAATCGTGATGTCCGGTTCCAAATCCAAACATCGTTCTTTGGTGGTAGGCTTCATCTCGCTTTGGTAGCACTTTATGATTCCTCCGAATACGATGAGCTCGTGGTTAAATCTGGTCTGATGACGTACGAGCTGGGTGGCGGAGACGAATATGAGGCCATTTATTTCCTGATCCCAGATGATGGGGTTGTATCGTCACTATGGAGTATTGACGAACACATTGTTTCCGGTCGAACACAGTGCATTTCGTCCCGAACAACCAATCCGTCGCGGAGAGGTTGTTGTTTTTCCGCCCATGATATTTCCACAAAGGTCATTTCGGTCGTACAGTCACTTTGGAGTTGTTGATGTAGTCAGTCTCATTGTGTAGTCGCATTTCCGAGCGTTGTTACAGAATGATGTCACGAAATGTATATGTGCTTTGTTATGCCTTAGTTATATAGCAACTGAGCTGCAACAGCGTTGATAGCCATCTTACATCGTTCATGAGTTATTATTATACACTATCGTTGAGTTGGTAACCATTGAAGGAGCCTTCAATCTGTGCCTTGGAATCGGAACACGGTATAACTATCGTCGTTTCGCTGGAAGCGAGAGAACTCTAGTAAACGGATCGTTCAGAACGACTTTCATATCGTCGTTTGGTGGGCGACGTTTTCTAGAAGGCATCGCATCGTATGCCTCCACGGCATGTGTACATGATGTGCGCACGCCTCTGTTGATGTACATGTATCAACCATACTTGAGCGCCCATTATGCATTCCCCCCTCGCGTGAAGGTAGATTCTTCCGCTAGTAACTTCAACCTGGTAGAAGTTATTAGCGAGATTGAATCGAAATGTACGAATTAATTGTGAATCATCAAAGCATCAAATTATTCCTCCTATGTCACAGTTCTCGTCGAGCTCCGCAAATAGTGACTCTGCAGCTAATCCTGATGAACGCTCTGACCAGACCGGACTCCAGCCGTCGGAAGCGCAACACTGCGATGATCTTCCGCCTTTTGCATTGGTTTCCTCGCCCAAGGGTACTGTGTCGGGTAAGATCGAGCGTTGCTAGATGCTAACCATCGATTCATTCATCTCCATGGTGACGAGCTAATTATATTGTCTACCAATAGTTTCGAGTTGAACTCCAATGTGTTATATCATTACTAATAAGATTTACATCTTACCTCACGGTGTGATTCTGATCGTCAGCCATTGTCAAGTTGACAATGTCAACCATGTGTTTGGTCAACACTAAGGCAAGAAAAGGTGTGAAACCATATTCCAGCATACGCGTCCAGCTGTGTGAGCTACACAGTTGCGGAGCGAGCGAAGCGAGCGGAGCATATACCGCAACAACAGGCACTTTCGCGTTGTGCGTGCGTGCAGAAAGAATTGTTCTAGCTTAACTACGAAGCGTAGGCGGCCATCAGATGGATCAAACGACTCCTCTATATGTCGAGGTTTGCACTAAAATCGAACAACTCTATTATGCGAGCAGCTCGAAGAGATATGCACGAAAACCTTTAATGACCAGGGGAGCGAACCGGAGGCATATTCCGGGGTAGAGCTTGGTGTGTCTACTGAATGAATCAATGGACGAGGACTAAGCGAGCTCCGCCCCTTCGTCACGAAGACCTAGTAGCTAAGGGGCTAAATATATTTCTGCCGAGCGTCTCGATAGGCGTCTCGAACTATTCACCCTACTTCGTGATATGATCCATATTTGGAGGATGCCCATATGCGGCATCGGACGCACGAATCGACTGCCTGCGAAGGTGACCATTAAGTTATCGTTTTACTAAGGCTGCCACAGCACACTTGATCATACGTCAGACCTTCACTGATACACACGATACGGTGGCACTTCGTGATGTGATGCAAATATACGAGAGTCCTTTCTCGTCTCGAAATAGTAACGGTTAAGCTCATTAGTTCATTGGCTAATCAGAATCCCACAACTCTACGTATGAACAGAAACAAATGAACCATTCAAGAAGATGGTAAGCACACAACTTGTGCGAATGACGACACTTGGTATCTCGCGTCGGTGTCCATGTCTCGCAGAGAGATGCCCGGGCCTAGCGTGAAGATGCCTGCTGCGAAGGGGAAGAGGGACAGGGAGAGAGGCACGGAGCTGAAGGCTTTTATCGTCTGAAAGTAAACACCCACGGTGATGCGATGCAGAAGAGAATCAGATCAATTGCCAAGACTGTATTGCTCTCGCAGCAGAGTATGTGAGGGACCACTGTAATTCCAAATCGTGAATTCACGAGATGACGCCGTATTAGATTATTAGATGTCCTTAATTTGAAATTAATAATTTCCACCAGCCCCCATACCACTCGTCGCGAACATCTAGATCATGACACAGTCGGAACCAACAGCGATCCCTACCCCCAGGGTCCGTTCCGTGAGACCCGCCATTTGCAACTCGGCCATCCCATCAACGTCGTAGTCTATGCCCACCACAATGTCCCTGTCGGAGTTATTCACAACTTTAACTTCGACTGAGAACGGCTTCTCCACAGTTGCAGCGAGCACTCCTTTGGGCAGACCATCAACCCTTGGAGGTGCTTCGTCTGTGACTGCCTGAGTAACAACGAACAGAACCGACTACGAAAGGTTCACACCAGAGGAATGAGTTTTGCGAGTAGTTCTATACCACAGCCCAACGAAAATATTTTCGTTCGCAATGACTTACAATGCGCAAGTCTAGTTCTTGTTGGGGGATGGGCCGAAGCTCCAATTTTTGCCGCACGCCAAGTATCGAGTCCGATGCACTGCCGAGCTGTGGACATCGCCATTGGAACTTGAACGTACCATAGGAGACCAACTCTCGAACCTAGATGTGTCCAAGGTGCGGTATGACTTATATCCCAACAACTTACATAGCTTATATCAACACTACTGCCCTGAGGCTTCAGCTCGAATACATATTCAGCTGCGGACACCTCTTTCGGAGCGAGGACTCTAGTACCCCCTGAAGAACACAACTCACGAGCGATCCTTGACCTCGACTGTTCCCTTGTGAAGAGCGCGGAGAATGGTTAACTACGTGATGGACTCATCGCCAGCATATACATATTGAGCGCTCAGTTGACAGGGAACAGTCCACGAGGAAACATCGAATCAGCTGTGGGATCGCATAATCGATGTACCGACGGTACACTGTGCGAACAACCTTTCGAGTACCATTGTTCAGTAGCACAGTATACGACTAACACAATGGTAAATAAAATGAGATCCGAGCGGGTTGAGGAAATTTCAATCACTCTTATTATTGTTGCCCTCAATCGCGAGATGGTCGAATCAACCGGCGATCTCTCAAACATATAATGTCCAAACTTCAACACTCGAGTTTCTAATTCTGTCGTTAAGTGGATTAAAAACGAACACCGCACTCAAACACGGTATCATTGATACCGTATCAACAGACTATCGTAAGAGCTCCTTGGTGATAGCTCCCCACTCACTAGTGTCACCAACAGGCTCACTGAGGAAGCCCCGGATCGGTTCCACTCCCACACCGAAGATCGCAATGTGAGCCGACGGATGCGAACTCGTCACACTAATATTGCATAAGATTCGATTCTGAAATGAAGCCAGTAGACCACACCCACGGCGGGTTTTGCTAGCTCACATCCAACTGCACCGCTTCGTGATGAACAGCAAGAGGGGCCACAACAGGGAACTTATAGCTCCGTTTGAAATACAGCGCCTCCCCACCAGGTGATAACGCATATCTACAAATTTGCCAGTTTGAGCGGAGCGAAGCAGCTGATAATACTACCTTATCTGAACCTGCAGTATATGTATCGAGGGAACAGCGAGAGACTAAGACAAAGAAGAATAGCTCAACTCAACAGAGTATCGGCGAACAGGATCAAGCCCACGGAATTTCATGATGCGTGACAACTCTAGTACTTCACCATTTGAGAGCTCTTGCCAACACCGTATGAACTACTACACCACTCGATGCAACATCGGAAGAATTTTCTCAAGAAATTTTTCCGACAAAAATTGAGGAAACAGATCTTTCCAATGCTGGTGCGTTTTCAAACAGTCCTTTTATTCGAATCTACACCATACAGCAATCGACGGCGAGACCGAAAAAACTCAACTTCCGCTTACGAATTTGCCCCTCGTCGAAACAACCTGCTCCACAGGGCATTCCTTAGCCAGCACCCGTAGTGGGTCGTCGCTAGTATCAAGTAGCTTCACACATTCCTCTCCTACTGCGGGACATGATAACTCCACCTACTCACTCATGCTGCATGGTTTAAAGGGACTTCGACTCACCTTCAAAGTAACATCATACAGAGTGTTGACTTTGGGGCTGTCCACAGCTACGTTGATATACCCCTGGAAGGCTTCCCCCACAAACATGTCACTAAGCGGGAAAAATCATCGAATTCACCAGTAGACTGTGAACTCCTCCTCCTATACAGTCCACGGCGACGCGGATCGTCTTGAACAGGTCCCCACTGCGTACCTCACTTCTCGGGGTAGCTTAGGTGATGCGTTTTCAAGACTCCTCACAGTATTCTCTGGCAGTAAAGGGTTGTGGCATTCCTGAGATAACACATGCATATCTTAGGTCCCAGCTGACAAGATACGGAATAGGACCTGTATGATGCCATGAACCGGGCGAGCTTGGTGGATCTGGCTGACTCGCATTACCTTCACGGCTAGAGGGTCCCGAGTAGACATCAAATTTAACGACAAATCACTCAAACCTTCCGAGAATCCATACCTCTTACTCTCAAGAGCATACCTCGGAGATGAGGAAATCACATTCGCGGGCAGAGACAACAATTTCATGGTAAAGAAGGACATAGATTTCGGGTCGTAGTTCCAGCGAACCAGGTATTCCAGAATGCCCTGGGCCTCTAACCACAGCCTATAGTAACGACGACCGTATTTCTACGACCAAGAATATGGGGGGAGGCATGCTGGCAACAACAGTAACAATAATAGCAACAGTAACAATAATAGTAACAACAACGACAGTAACAGCAAAAACAGTAACAACAATAGTAACAACAATAGTAACAACAACAACGATAACGATAACAGTAACAGTAACAGTAACAGTAACAGTAACAGTAACAGTAACAGTAACAGTAACAGTAACAGTAACAGTAACAGTAACAGTAACAGTAACAGTAACAGTAAGAATGTTCCCTGTTACTCTTGTTACAGTGTTACAACAGTAACAGTAACAGTAACAGTAACAGTAGTAGTAACAACAACAGCAACAACAACAACGACCACGGTCACAACAACAGTTAGGACAGTAACAACCCCAAATGGATATAACGCACTTCAACTCAGCACCGTGTTTCGTAGATCGTATGGAAACAAAAAGAGGTATCTCCTTTAATACTACACCAACTTCCTCATTACACAAAGCCAAAGCCCTCATGAGCCTCATTAACCGCCTGAGATGACCATGACCATCAATCAGCGAATCCAGTTCACTCCTCTAATACTACCAGCACGAGCTTCGCTTTAAGAGTCTCTCTATCGCCATAGTTCGGCAGATCCAACTGGTTCATACACGTATGAGCCGTCGGCAAACGATCAGCCCCATACCTATACCACACCTCCCTGAACCCATCCCAACCGCAATAGACCTACGCTCTGTGGACCGACATCTTCTGTGGTCCCCTCATCCCCTGCAACGCCTTAAAGCCCTCCAAAGGAACCTGACTACTCCCCGTCACCTGAACACCATATAATAAAACCCGACAGCTCAACCGTTGAACTCACGAATTGCAGGAACGTCGCTAACTGCTGCTGGTTGAACTCCTCCACTACCGACCAGAACCAAACCTGAACCGCATGTATGGATCTCAGTCTCCCCATGAGCTCCACTGTCCATCATCAAAGCTTGGCTACAGCATTTCCAGGTTTAATTTGTTGGAGTCTCACCCTAGTGATGTTGAAAACACTAGCGAAACATTTATTTCACGACTACTGCATATCACCGCGAATATCGCTTTTTTAACCGAGTATTATGCCATTCCACATAAAAGCGATGAAATTCTTTTTTTTACATTGGAGTTTCACCCATTTCACCTGAGCTGGCGTAAAACTCTGTGAAAAACGCGAAACTCGCTCTACTCAGTAGTCGTGAAATATGTTTTTCACTATTGTTTTTCATATCACTAGGGTGATGAAACTCCATTGTTTTTGATTTTCTACCTATATTCATCAACATTTTACCCATGGTACCAATACAATATCAACAAGATTAATGCCTTTATCCATTCAACCAAGGACGCACTCAATGATAAACATTAACCGGCTGGGCAAAAAATCAAACATTACGCTAGAAAATAAATGACATCTTGAAATGCTGTAAGTACTCCACTACCCATCAGCGGTGGAATATATGATCGCTATCCTCAGCTGAGCCCACAAGTTTCCTCACTAATTATACAAGTTTATATACGAATTTCGGGTAAGAGTGTACAGAAAC